CTGCCGCGGCGCGCGCGAAAGTCACAAAAAAAATCCCATTCCGACGAGAGAGACGTTCCGGAATGCGATTTGATATCGCCGAGTCTTTCTCTAGTTTTAATTTTTATGAATTCTCGTCTCGTCTCCCTCTCGACTTATAATATAACAATCGCTCGTTTTCGAATTCACATCTCATCGGCGCGCACTTACAAGAGAAGACCGAATTAAGGTTGGGCCTGCTTTACTTAAAAAACCGCCATGTACGGCTTCCTTGTGGTCGCCACTGGCACTTACTGCGGAGTGACAATTTATTTTAGAAGGCTATTCAATTTTATATTAACAAAATTTAGTCAAAATCCTTCAAATTAGTTCAAATGATGCATCTTTCTATTTTCAAATTAATAATAAATCATATGTTTTCACATTAAAAAAGTCAGCAGATGTTTAACGTAAAAAAATTTAATAAGTTAATAAATAAAGAAAGTATTTTTAATTTATTTTTACGTTTAAATTTTTATCTATTTCTGATTAAATTCTTATTTTTTAATATTTAGTTTAAATTAAATTTAATAAATGGTTTTCACTGATTTAAAACTTAATTAGAGATAAAATTTTAATAGCAATTAAAACAAAAAAGCAATTTGAATTTAAATAAGAGCACATGTGAGCTGTAACTTAATAATTTTGTAATACAAAAATAATGTAATTGCTGATGCGCTTAATTTTCATGTAACATATAAAAACCTGCAATATTTGAAACAATAAATATCTTTTTCCAATAAAAAAAAAAAAAAAGTACTAATCAGGACAAATGGTTAATGATATACAACGGGTCCAGATCGTGATTTCGCCTATCCCAAGGTCCATCAGCACTTCTTTAAACGTCAGTGCCGCTGATTTTGTGATAGCTCGAGAATATAAAAACTTAATTACTGTAAAGAAACTTTATCTAGATATAATTAAATAATAAAAATTAAGTTCGAAGCTTATTTTTTCCTCTTTTTCAAATTACTGAAAATGCATATTTCAATCAATTTGTGTTAAATTTAAAAATTGTTTTTCATCTCCAAACCATTTGCAAATTATTATTTTGTTTTCAGTATTAAATTATTTTTCAAACTTATTCCTGAGGATCAAACTGTGTTAAATGGAGTGCAAATTTTTTTAAATTAATTAAAAATTATTTTTACACAACTTTCCAATATTTTTTTAACATGACACCAATTTTCTTGCAGCTTTAATTTTTTTTAAACCCTCAGCCTCTCTTGAATGATGGTTTGTGTAAAAGTCCTCAATCATCCTGCAAAATACAAATGAATAGCCCTCATGATTTTCAATTCCGACCAAATCCTTCCAGTGTAATCTGACACACTTGGCCCACATGAGCAGAGTTTGACGCGCAAACCCACAAGCGTTGCAAATAAATACGCAGAGAGTCCAACTTAAAGTGTTTCAAACGCCCATTCCAATTTGTTGGAGTGCAGCGTGTCCGACTGATTACTTCGGACGGGCCGTCTGCACCGCGTCATTCATCTTTCCACTCCAAAAGAACAAAATAAAGTAAATGTCAGTTATTTTTACTTTCAAAGCAATTTTTATCTACCCTGTTGAATTATTTTAATTAAATATCTGGAGTAATTTTGTTAATAAATCCAAACCAGAATTGAGTCTTACCTGCAATTTTAAATTAGTAAATTACAAACTAATCGCTGTTAATATTCCTGGAGTTTTTCAACTTGAAAAATATTTATTTTTAATTATCATTCTTCATTTTTTGACTATTATCACAAATTGTTTGCATTTTATGAGGAGAATATAATTTTTTTTGAGGGAAATATTGAATTGTCAGACAAAACGGCACCACCACTTGCGAAATGTTTTCCAAAAATAAATATCCATCTTGTATAAAATTATTTTATCTAATATAAAATTTTTACAAAACAATTGAATTTTTTGATAACAAATTTCTAACAAGTTTAAAAAAAAACGCTTCTTCCAATTTGTTGGATTGCAGCGTGTCTGACTGATCACTTCGGACCCGCGGCCGTCTGCACCGTGTCATCATTTTTCCTCACTCGCTTGTCCGTTCCGAAAAACAAGATGCGTTTTTAACACTGTATTTTTATATACATTTGATCACACGGGGCGGCCAAAGTGCATCGACTCTCGGTGCTGCTGGAGAGAAAGAAAGAGCCAGAGCAGGTGCATTCCGACCGAAAATAGCCGAGCCGAGGAAATTTGTTGTTTTATTTTTTCCTCGTCATGTGAGTCTGTAAACTAGACCAGGCAGGGAGGCTGCATGGCGAGCCAAGTGAAAGTGATTTATTAATAAATACATTCTGGAGCATTTTGTTGAATTATTATTGTTATTGGAATAGAAAGAACGCCCTCGACCGATTCGGCACACATGTTTGTGTTTGCTCGGCGCGCACTTTTATTTATATTATTGGTGCAGCGGGAGGGGCCCCTTCGGTAAATGGTTCTTTTTGTTCGAAATTGGCGGAATGCGCAGCTGTCCGTCGATTTGGTTAATGCAACACCCCATCGAGCGCAAGCGAAAATGGAATAATTGCCATTGTTGCAGCCACAAAAGGTGGCTTTTCTCTCCGCCGAGGGTTCGATCCGAGAGCTGCAGCTTTGCGTTTGTTATTGGGTGCGAATTCATTTCGCGTTCTATGCAATTCCGCCGCAAAACTCATCTCGCTGAGAAAACAAAACAAGAGGGACGAGCCAATTTTGCGGTTCTGCTCTGCGGACAATCACGGTCCACTTTGCGCTTTTCTCAGATGAAATCATCGCTCGGAAAGGATATATAGAGGATCTCATTATGATTTGTTTTCATTCATTTCTATTTCAAGCTGTGACCAATAAATAGAAGTGAAACTATCTCATAATTTAGATTGTTTTCAATTATACAAATACCAATGAAGTCAATCAAATTATTGAAACAGCACAATTTATTTGCATTTTGAAACAATTTTCTTCTTAATTTTAAATAACTTTTTTATTTCTTGTTACTAATTTAACTTTTGTTTGAGCCGTTTATTTTTGAATAAAAACAATTTTTAACGAGGAAAAGCCCGATCTCTTCATTTCCACAATTCAACGTTTTTACATAATTTCCAGTATTTTCAATCGAAATTTGCTAATAAATTTTGAGGGATTAATTGAAAAGTTAAATAAGTAAAAAAATAATAATGTAGGTTACAAAATTATAAGTATTTCTGAATATTATTTGTGGATCTTAGACGGAAGCGCTTGCTGGTTTGTCGGAAATCCCTGACGTTCCTTAAATAACGGGTCGATTTATAGACAAAGTACATCAGGATTTCCAGTAATAATAACAATATTTTTAGAATAATCAAAGGTGTCTATTTTTATTATATATTAAGTATGAAATTTAATGGAAATACTGAATTTGCATATTTACAGTGAAATTTTGAAACAAAATAACCAATTGTGTATTAATTAAGTTGAATTTTAAAAAAAATACAACGTTAAATTTTTGAATTTTATTAGTTTCATTAAACCAAATCTTTTCATTTCTACAGAGCACAATAGCATATCAAGCCAAAGCTCTCAAATTGACTGCGGTTGAAAATGACGCATCAACAATTTTTTATTGTTGTTTATTCATCTCAATTCTATAGAAAAAATTAGCAAAAAAGAAATCTAGCAGAGGAATGCTAAAAAGAGAAACGAATGAATAAAAAATTTCATAGAAATAAAAGTACCAAATCCAACAGCAATTCCCATTTTCTTAATATCATTTTATTCGAATTGTTAAATATTATCTATTTTTCAATCAAAAATTTGCAAATTAACAATATTTTATAAATTTTGTTATCATTATTTTTGTTAGAGTTTTGATTTTCTTCTTACATAATTCTATTTTAAAGTCTTCTCCTGCAATTCGATTTTTATTACATCCGATCGAGAGTGTTGCCGACGAAGTCAGGCGCGAATTGCGTATGAAAACGCAGGTGTGTCTCGTACAATAACATAATAAAGCACCCACCGTAGTTCAACGCAGCTGCCGACAATCGTCGTCGATTGCAGCTTTCATTATAAAGGTTCGGCCACCCCGATTGTTGCAGCTTTTCTCTCTCTTTTGCGTTTTGTTTGCGATGGGCGTGCTAGAGCGGAAGTATGCAAATGAATCGAGTCAAAATAAGACGCGGCGGAGTCGCGCTCAATCTGCTTTGTGGGCCGCGAGCGAGCGTTTTCTTCTTGTGTGCGCCACTTTGATCGATTAATTAATCAGCGATTAATACTCGGCAGCGCGTTATGTCATTCGCACTCCACTTAACACACATGCGTGCTCTCGACACAATATTATGCTCTCGATTCGCTGCTTCCGTCTTCAGAACAATATAATATGAAATTTCCATCCAAACATGCTTCCTTTCGTCGGTCTTGAGACGAAAGCCCTTGACTTTTGCCAGTTTGCTCCTTTCGTTTTATGACGTTCACCTCTTTGTAATTCAAATGAATGCAAATATATGATGCACAACCTTAAAAGGAAATTTGCAGGAATTTTCCTTTTACATTTGTTCTTCTTGTAATCATTTTTTAATAAAACTTGTAAAAAAAATTATCTTAAATAATTAATATAATTATAATTTCTTTATTAATTTTTTAACAATTATTAAATTAATGAAATAACTTGGATTTTATCAAAAATTTAGAGAATATTTAAATGAATTTTGAAATAATACAAAAGTATTGGTGGTAATAAGCAAAATTGTGTTGATTTCATTTAAATTAATAGGAAAATTTGTGAAAAATGCCAATTTTATTATTTATTTTCTTCAATTCCTCGTCACAATTTTGACACACATATATGAAACTGTCAAACAGCAATTTTTTTGAACATTGTTAATATTTAAGTTGAATATATAAATTAAAAATATTCTGTCCTGCTTATTTTTTATCAATGAATTTGACTGGAACAATTTTTTTATATTTTTTATTATTTTTTTGCCAGTATTTTCAACTATTTCTGTCGTGTTTGCTTTCAGCGGCACATGGAGCGCGCGTCCGACCTGGCAGAGGAGGCGGCCGGAGGTCACTCGGACGCTGGGGGCGGCACACTTTCAACTCTGGCCCGCTCCCTGAAACAGCACCTCCGAGGTTTCGGCGGCCGCTTGGAGGAGGCGCGCGAACGCTTCGAGGACGCGCATCGCTGTCTTGCTCTCGTGGCAAAGGTAAAAATTATTATACATGATTTGTTTGACTCCATTTTCGGAGAAAAATTGGCTCCAATCAACACGAGAGGTCAATGTCAGGTCAATTCATTTCACAGACAAATAGGTGTTTCTATTTTTAAATTTGGAAAGTATCTTCCGTTTAATTTGGCACCATTTATAATTTAAATGAAACCAATTAATTCATTAATTAATTTTCCTTTATTTCATTTAAATGAATTTTTATTCAAAAGCAACACAAATTTATATGCTGGCTTGATTTATGTTTTTTTTTTTCATTAAATTTTTCTTGTAATCTTTCTTGCAGGCGGAAGAATGGGCAGCTGAAGCGGACAGTCGGTTGCGCGAGGCGGACGAAAAAGCTTTGCGCCTTCACGTGATGGCCCACCCGGCCCCCTGCACCTCACACCTTGCAGAAATGGCGCAACTGGCGAGGAAGCTCAGAAACGCGAAATTAGCGGATCACTGCCTTGTAATTGAAAACGAAAACAAATCGTGTTCCTCTTTATTTAAATTTTTAATTTAGGACGCGGAATCGCGATGTCTGGCGACGATGGAGACGGTTCGCAATCGTCTCTCGGGGGCAGCGCCTTTTTCCGCCAACTGCTCCTGCTGGCCCGAACCGCAAACACCAGCGTGGCCTGACGAGGAGGGCAGCAGCAGTGTCGCATCCGTCGCCTCCGACGACCAAAAGCAGTGAGTGCCGAGTTTAAAATAATTTTATCAAAAATTAGAAAATTTTTTGAAAACATTCTGAAGTTTGATCCTATTATAAATAATTTATTCTGAATTTTCTCTTGATAGTTTTTAAAGGGGGACTTGTGAGTCAAATGAGGACCATTGTTTGTTCGTGTCTCATTGTTATGCTTTGTAGTCAAAAGTGCTACTTTATATGGATTGCTCCAAAAATGGGCAAGCAGACCCTTTTTTTTTCTCCGCACCAAAATTGTACTTCTGCCATATTAGCAAAATTGGTCAAGATATTATTTAGTTTTTTCGTTATTTTAGTTTCAGTTATTTTAAAAGTATTTTTTATTTCCTCAAAAATGAAATGTTTCACCCACTTTTTTAAATTTTTCATCAATTTATATAAATTAACACCAAGAATATTGACAAAAAATGAAAAACTGAAACCGGGCTTTTCATTGGAAAGTAAAAAAAAAATGAAAAATTAAAAGGAGATAACTTCAGAAGATGTAACAATTGGACAAATAAACAGTAATATAATAATTCCAAATTGTATTTCATTAAAAAAAGTTATTTTCATCACATTATAGATCGGATCAAAGGATTGAACTTGATTACAAATTTGCATATTTTTTTTTCAGCAGTGAATGTACAAAGGAGGAAGAAGTGGACGCAGCGGTTGAGAGAAGCCCGCTGACTCCGAATGCTCATCTCGAGCAGCTACAGACACCACCCCTAGAGGCCATCGACCCTGCCGCAGATCCAAATGTGGCAAAAACGCAAAGGTTTGTTTTAAAAACAACGTGATTTTTAAATTTTTATGTATTTTTTTTCAGTAGCATTTTAAGAAGAAAAAAAACTAGTATTATTAATATTTTTTATTCTCAAGTAAAAAAATTAATAATAATATTAAATTTCCAGAACTTTGCTTTTGATCATGAGGGAAATGATCCAGACTGAAAGAGACTATGTCAGGGCGCTCGAGTATGTGATCGAGGTAAATTTCATTTAAATTATTCATACTTCCTAGATAAATGTAACTTTTGGTTTTTATTATTTTTACAGCACTACATACCAGAGCTGTTGCGTGACGACATCCCTCAGGCGCTGCGTGGCCAGCGAAACGTGGTCTTTGGCAACATCGAGAAGATCTGCGAGTTTCACCGACACTTTTTCCTGCTTGAGTTGGAGAAGTGCGAGAAGAGACCTCTTGCAGTGGCCAACATTTTCCTCAAATATGTGAGTTTTTTAATTTCAAACCATCAAAAATATCCAATTAATTTGCTTTCAACTCATTTCAGGAGGACAAATTTTACCTGTACGCGCTGTACAACAAAAACAAGCCCAAGTCGGACTGTCTCTTAATTGACTACGGCGCTGCTTTCTTCAGGGTAGGAACCGTTTTATTTATTAATTTGATCTATTTATAATTTTAATTTTTTTTTAAGGCTAAGCAGCTCGAGTTGGGTGACAAAATGGACCTGGCGAGTTACCTGCTGAAGCCAGTCCAGCGAATGGGCAAATACGCCCTTCTCCTGCAGCAAATGCTCAAACAGGCTGCCGGAGGCCAAGCGGCCGATCTGGCCGCTGCAGAGGCCATGGTGCGCTTCCAGCTGAGACACGGAAACGACCTGCTTGCCATGGATTCACTCACAAACTGTGATGTAAGCGATTTTTTTTATAAAATTTTTTTTAAATATTAAAATTTTAAAAGAAGGAAAAAATTGCTCCTGAAATTCCAATTGAACAAAATGATTATCTGGCAAAATTTAAAATTCATTTAAGAAAGGAAATATGAAGAATAATTATTTCCAAAATTAGGGAAATTATCATTTCAAGGAATGATGAAATTAGAATTTAAACGCTTATTTCAATTACATTTGAATCATTTTTAATTATATGTCCAAAAAGGAACCAGTTTAATAAGGAATATTTAAAAATTTATTATCTAATTCAACTTGTTTGTCAATCATTAAATTCTGTTTTGAATTAATTCAACTTTTGTGTACTTTTCAGGTAAATCTGAAGGAGCAGGGTCGCTTGCTGCGCCAAAATGAATTCATCGTCAACCAGGGACCTCGAGGCCGAAAGTGTGTTCGGCATGTTTTCCTTTTTGAGGAACTCATCCTCTTCAGCAAAGCTCGCAAGTTCCCTGATCGAAAGGTACGTTTTATTATAATCTCAGCTTCTGTTTCTAACAAAAAATGTCTTCAGAACTTGGACCTTTTTGTCTACAAGAGCAGCATAAAAATGACGGACATCGGCTTGACTGCGTTGGTGGCGGATGCGCCAAACAAATTCGAAATCTGGTTCCGTAAACGGAAGCCCAGTGACACTTTTACTCTCTATACATCCTCGTCTGACATCAAAGCCGCGTGGACTAAAGAAATCTCTACCCTCCTTTGGAAACAGGCACTCAGAAACAGAGGTAATTTTCCTAGACAAGAATAATATATTTTTAAATTTTTATAAAATAAGATAAATTTCATTGAATGATATTCATATTAAATTTTACATTAATTGGATAATTTGGCCGTATTCAAATAATATTTTAATTAATTCAATATATCTTAAATCTTGCAGAAGTGCGACTTGCAGAAATGTCAAGCATGGGAATAGGCAACAAGCCTTGTCTGGACATCCGACCCAGTGGAGACCAGATTTCGGACAGGTCAATCGGCCTTACACAGCTGGCAAAAGGTAATTTTTTCTAAATAAATTTATTTCTGTACTTTTAAATCCAGAAAATTTTGCACCATTTCTTTAAAATTATTTCCCAAAAAACAAATAATTTAGGATGATATTTAATTCCTTCAACTGTACCTAATTATATTTTAAATTGCTATTAATTTGTTACAGCTGGAGCTCGATTTCGAAGCTCAGTGGCGCTAAGTTCGGCCGAAAGGAGGCCACGGAGGCCCCACTCGGTTGTGTCGGTGGCCTCGTCATCGTCCTCCTCTGCAGGATCCAACTACGGTTCAGGCGAGAATTCCACCATGCGTTCAAACACCCTCAACAGCCACTCATCTCTTGGTAATTTTAATTACAATTTAATTGTTTATTACGTCCATAATAAAAACAAAAAATACAAATAGCCAAATAGGAGAAAATCAAAAGCAAACAAATCTAACAAAAAGGAATTGGAAATCTGGCATATTTTTAAATTAATACCATCTTTTCTCCACATGATTTTTTTTATTGTATAGTCATTTAAAGAATTATTTTGCTGATTTAAATTTGAATTTCAGAAAGCGGCATCATCTCTGATTTGAGTGCCAGCTTGGAGGAGTCGTGGCCTCCAGAGGCGGCTTCTGCAGCCACTCCGTGACCTTCACACGACACACCAGTCGAAACCAGTCGTTTACCAATGAAGTCCAATCAAATCGCGAGCCAACTTTTTAATAACTAGCGGTTAAGATTTACACTTTATAACAATAAAAAAACACAAAGATTATATTCTCTTTCTTGTAAGTGAGAGTTTCTCAGTCGTAATTTGTATTTATATGTATTTGTACATTTTTTCTGAAAGTGAGTGACTGTATTTAATAAATAAAGAGGTATTAATAAATAAGATTAAAGATTCTTTTAATTTTTTTAATAAATACCAGATCTTTATTGTTTTGCTCCAACAATTTTTGAGATTTTGGGCAGATTCAACTGGGAATACATCAGTTTTCATTTTTATACAAGTTTAAACATTGCCTCAGTCTAAAATTTAAAAAAAAAAAACTTATTTCTTCTGTGGAAAAGGACGCGCATTTTCATTGACCCACGGCACCAAGTCCTGAGCCACAACAGCCGCACAGTGCAAAAGGGCCATGACGTCACCCTCTGCGGAATGAAGCGCCGTCGCCTGGAATTCCGGAACGAGGCGATCGACCACGTCGCCCAAGCGGTAGGACGTGCGTCGTTGAGGAGTTTGTTCCTGAACTGCAGCCAACTGCGAAGGGGTCGCTGGGATGGGCTTGTCTGATTTCTGGAACGAAAGCTCCACCGCATCGGCAATTGCGGAAAGTTCGGCGTCCAATTCAGTCGAGTCAAAATCGTCCAGATTTGACTTTTTGGGACTTTGCTGGAAAAAAAGAATAATTTTTAAAAGAGATTTCTTCAGGAGAGTATTTTTTCTAACCTTGTTTGGCGTCTTCTGCTGGGTCAGTTGAGTTGATTCACCAAAATTCAGGCGTCTTATGGCTTTGGTTGGTTTTGAGGGACCTCCATTGAGCGCCTGCCTGAAGTAGTGAAGGGTGTCGGCGCAAAGCATGTCATTGGGAAATGGCTGGAATGAGAATAAGTTCAAAAAAATTACATAAAATTTGTTAAAAATTCAAAATCAAACGGAATTATTCAGTGGAATCCAATATGGAATGAAATTTCGTTTAAAAATTAAATATACAAGTTATGATTTTCATCATATTAAATAAAATAATAAAGAAAGTATTTTTAAAAAAAGTTTTCTCCTTCATGGCATTTAATTGGAATCTTAGTTTTTTTGTCCGGTGCAATAAAGGCCAAAAATTTCACTGCCTTGTTTCTAAACAACTTTGTCAGAGCAGTAAAAATTAGACTGGCTCTTCCTTCTATTATTATTTTGAATAATTTTCAATTTCATTCTTTTTTGTAAACGATTTTCATTCTTCAAATGATTTTTCTAAATTTCAATTTGAAATTTTTCCTAAAATTAAAAAAAAAACTAAATCTATATGTCTCATTTTCATTATATAAGAAAAAAAGAGAATAATTATTTATTTAATAAATATTATAAATTATTATTGAAAATTTGTTTTGTAAAAAAACTAAAATTCCATTTAAGTTCTTTTTAATTCAACTCATTTTTAATCAACCCTGAGCCCTTTTGCGATATAAATTAATTTTAGTTTTATTTAAAATAAATATTTTGGAATTTCAGTGTTTCAACCAACCCTATTCAAAGTCTTGAACTCTTTGGCGAGCATGGGGAAGTCGAAGATGTGCCCATTGTGCGCGAGAAGACACACCGGATGCTGCAGCCGTCCGAGGAAGGTCTCCAGGGTGGCGCAGGTCGTCTCGTCGAAATAGGGTTGACCTTCGAGCAGGAAGTTGTCCAGGCCGGTCAGTTTGGAGGCCGTCGGGTGGATGGGCAGGCGAGGGTCGACGCAGAGGGTCACTTTGTGCTGGACGCGTGGCGGCCTGGGTCGGGCGGCCAAAAGGTCCGCCGTGGACACGGCCACGACGGCCACTTCGGTGACGCGGACTCGGGACGCTGCGTGCGGAAGATCCGTCGTCTCCAAGTCCATGAACGCCAGCGTCCGGATTCCTGATGAACGTCCACTGGCCTGGGACGCCATCCGGACAAGCTGCGGAAAAAAATTATGCTTCAATTTTTTTCAAATTTAGTTTATTTATAAAATTAAAAATCTTGCAAATGATAAGTAAAAGCATTCAATTTTTTTTTAAATTAATAATAGTTTTTATATTTCAATTAATTTTGTTTAAAAATTATATCAATTTTAGAACAAAATGGGACAAACCTTTGAGAGGTGCAGTTTGGTTGGAAACTTTTTCACTGCCTTTTATAATTTTTCCTTTCAAACACGCTGTGTATAATTTCAAGTCTATCTCGTTTTATAATTTAATCAGCAATAATTATAAATAAATTTTAAGCGAATTGTTTCACTGGGGTGGAATTTTTGTTCTTTGTTCTATGATTTGAAGAAAAATGCGACGATTTAAAAGTAAATATGGAATATCACTTGGAATTGTAGCAAGTTTTGCGTTGATTTTTCCCTGATTTTTCCTATCCTTCGTCAATTAATAAAATAAAAAGTGAGAAAATAGTTAAAACTTCGACTGGCGAGACTAGCCCATGTTGCTGGCAAATAATAACTTCAAATTTAAATTTCACTTGAGTTTTCCTGCTTCGCGTGCAAAATGAAAACAATAATAACTTTAGTTGGTCACCATGGTCAAGTGCACCAACTTTGCAAAACATTATGTTGAAAAAGTTCAGGTTGTGGCCAGTAGATGGCTAATGTAGCGTCGACAATTTTAATCCACACAGAACATTCGCGCAACACAGAGAACGAGCATGGGAAAAAAAGAGCAGGCGGATCGTAAAAAAAACGCGAATGAAACATGATGGTTAAAAAGCTTTAATTAATTTATTAATAAATGTAGTGCGTATTTTTTTTCTTGATTGCTGAAGAAGTAAATTTGATCAGAACATCCTAGAATTCTTAGATACCTATGTTCATTGAAAATAATCGTTTAATTAGTCTAGGTTAGGGTGAAAACAAAGAGACAAACTGGCCGCTTGAAAATATAATTACTTACCAAATTATCTTTTACAGATAATTTTCTATATAATTTCGTTGGTTATACGATAACTATGATATGTTCTTATTCTGAAAATATTTGACTGTAAGTTTTTGGAAATTACTTAATATTTTTAGGAAATTCCAGTTTAATACAAATAAAGCCGAAAAAATCAGCTTTACATTATCTACATTTCCTCTCTTTAAAAGAACTTAATTTTTAAGGAAAGACATTAAATTTAGAAATGGTGACAAAAAATTCCTCTATTTGATTTGAAAGAGAATTTTATATTTAAATACAAACCAAAATATAGGTGATTTTCATCTTCAAATGCTCAATTAAAATTTTTTTGTTTAATTTCATTGTGACAAAGTTATAGGTTCTTAAATATTTGTAAAAATTAATGAATAGAAGCTTGGCAAAAATTACTAATAAAAAAATTATTATGTAGAAGTCTAAATAAGTAGCTTAATTGTTATCTTAAACGTTCATTTCCTTCTTTTATTCATTCAAAATTTTGAAATTTTAACTAAATTATTATCTGCTTTAATATTTCATGTTTTTCTTTCGTAAAACAATCACTTAAATAAACCCCCATGGATTTAAAACTCGATTCCCCTATCCACAAATTAACATTCGATAGTGAAATTCTTCTAGAAAAAAATGAAGTTAAAATTGGGACTTTTCAACGTATTCTTGGAATTTGAAATCATATAATATAACATAGTTTAAATTTTTTATCGGAAGCAAATTTAATTGAAAATAAGTCAGTTTTTTTTAAATCCAAAAATAATATGAATAAACCAAAGCTTCGTGAAGGTCTATTTTTCGCATCGCAAATTTTTTGTGCGTCGAGCGCCTGCAAAAGAGCGATTTATGCAACGCCGCTCGACGTGCGCCTCCGCCGTGTTGCCTACCCGGCCGGGCGCTCGGGCAATGAAATTATTTGCGTCAGTGGCAGGTGAGCGAGCGAAAATAAAATTGTCCGATTCACCTTGCGAGTGACGGACGCGAATCAATGCCAGAAAACTGACCACCCGGTCGCGACATGCAACCCTTGTCTCGCGAAAACACGCACGTCCGAAACACTCTTGGCCGCGGCGACCCCTAATAATAATTACACCCCCATAACAACACTGCGGTGTGCAACACATGAGAAGAGGTTCTCGTTAATTATGAAATTCAAAATATAAAAAAATCGGCCTTCGAGGAAGAAAAGGAAAAAGGAGAAAGTTCAAGCTTTTCTTTTCTAACTCGGAGATGCACTCGCGCGGGGTCGTCGACTCTTTTCCTCCAAGGTTGCTCTACACGATTACGCGTCGCTTATTCTCTTTTGACGACAAAGAGCAAAGACCGCGCGCCGCATTGTTGTTTGTTGGTTTAACAGATTTCTATTTAATACAGCACGAAACCGCTTTTTTATTTTTAATACACAAAAAGAAGAAAAACTAGAAAAGCAATGGAAATCAATTGTGATAAATTTACCTTCTCGGATATAAAAATGGATCATTTTGAAATGAAATCTTCATTTTTTCGTAACTTTTAAAATTTGAAGCTAATTTGGATAAAAAAAATTTGATCAAAAAGAAAATCAAGAACCCTAAAAAAATTAATAATTTTGAAATGTTTAAAAAATTTAATTACAATAAGTGACTTATACACGCATTAGCTATGCTCTATGCTCCAATCTTTTTATAATTTGCTAATTCCTTGGAAACTTAGATTTTTATTATGAAAAACGCATCATAATTAAGGCTTGAAGATTTTGTTTACACAAATAATTTTTAATTTCAGATATTTTTCACATTTCACAAGTGCAAGCAAAAAGAACAGTAAGTTTTTATGAGCTAAATGTTGACGTTGACTTATTTGAATGAATTCTAATTTTAATCTGTGAATAGAAAATACAAAGTTTACGAAGAAAGACAAAAAGCACTAAAACTCTCGGAAATAATACCATTAGAAAACGTTTTTACATCTTTGAAAAACATACAAAAATTGTTTAAGTTCAAATTCTTTCATCAATTGAGCACTTTTACAGTGAAACCTGAGTTGAAGAAAAACTGTTCCTATGAAAAAAGAACTTTTATTTCAAAAAACGTTAAAAACTTAAAAGTAAAATAATGAAAGCTTTATAAACTTTGATTTTGCTTTTTTTATAATAATTTTATGGTTTTCCAAAAATTTGATGATTTTTTTGTACTTATTCTTGCTCAAAAAGAATTTGTTAATATTTAAACAATCACAAATCCGACAGTTTAAGAAAAACCAACTTAGGTCAAAAATTACGAAATCGGCCTATCACTCTGCACAGGCTTGGCAAGGCAATATAACCGGCTTCGTGTTGCGCAAAATGGATTCGCTTCTCCGCTCTCTCAACGCGGGCCCCCTTGGATTTTCGTTTGTAGCTCAATTTTCGGCGCTGCACTCGAACACACGACTGCACTCTGCGCCGTGTGCATAGGGAGCAGAGTGCATTGCCCTCGCGCGGCCGCAGCGCGTTCGCTCGGTTGCATCACCGCCAAAATTCAGGTCGGCCAAACACGCACTTTGTTGCTGCAGCCGCCCATCCAAAATGGTCATTTGCTTTTGTAATGCGATAAAAAAAAAGAGGAGAAGAGGAGGAAGCCGCCCATGCAGCCGATCTGGATTTATAATTAACAAAAAACAAACTGCAGCTGCTGCTTTTCTATTATTTATTGTACGCGTAGCTGATCTGAATAAACATAAAAGTCGATCTCACAGAGCTCCAAGTTGAAAGTAAAAAATAAACTGTAATAAGAGTTGTATTTTATTTTTGTATTTAATATTTATAAGTTAATTTCAATTGTTTTTATACTTTTTTAGTGAAGGTAATTTAATTTATTGTTGAAAATAAATGTTATTATAAATGTTTATTTAGGGCAGTTGGAGCCAAAATAATTTGAAATTTCTAAAGATTCTCAAGGTGTCAGATTTCTCTGGTGCAGCACGGTTTTGGCTTCGCGGGGTCAACGCATCCGAGCGCCGCCCAAAACTATAAAAATACATAAGTAGCGCTTTTTATGCGGTCAATCCGAATTCTGCGCCTCCTAGAACAACGAACCTGAGAAAGCGACCCAAAAGTCAACGAACGCAGATGCATCCGAGGCCATTTTCGACTGCAGCTCACTAATTTCGAGATTCACATTGCAAGAGAGAGAGATTATAAATGTGTGAATTGACTGAGGCTTCGTTTCTTCTTGGCCGACCGGATCTGTTTGAACTTTCTGCACACAGATTTCATTGAGCTCCTGAATAAAGTTTTCTTTAATTGATTTTGAGGTTCTTTAATGGAAGAAAATGTTATTTAGATCAAACCTTTGAATTGTTCTGAAATTTTAAAAGAAATGAGTACATAATTTTCTTTTATTATTCAAATTTTCTAGAATTTTCCTCAAAATAATTTTTAGTTATTAATAAATCTCATCTATAGTATAATAAATTAAAGTTTCGATTAAAATGATTTTGGATTTTTTAAATTACAAAATCCATGCTAGGGAGAGAAATAGAGCGAACAATTTGTATGATCTCAATCATGATTATATGCGTCATTGTTATTATTCAAAAGACTTGATTGCAGTCGCTGCAGCGAATAAAAATAAATGCATCATCGTACTTGGCGAGGAAAAAAGCGGGAAATGCAATGACTCAACGATGCTGTACATAAGCAATGCGGCAATCTCGAATTTCCATCTCTCAGGGAGAGAGCGAGAGCAATTCCCGTCGTATATCAAGGAACCCCCTGGCTCTCTGTCTTGTGTTTTGCGGCGCAGTTTCGGGAAACGGATGGTCGAGGTCGGCAGCGAGCGAGCGCGTTCAACGACCTCTTTCACGTGGGGCTTTGCAACGACACGTGCCTGCAAACTGGGAGCTTTCTCCGCACCCATGACGTCACCGACCTTTCTCTCTGGTTTGCACAGGCCCCAAAGGTCATCGAACCTTCCAAAGATCCAAAATCGTCTTCGAACAACCCTTCTGAAGAGTTTCCGAGTTCATTCCGGGCTCAGGGTGGGCCCTGACAACCCTTTCGGCGGTCGGGTTGTTCGGAGAAAGCGGGTGTGCGGTCGACGACCGCTGAGAAGAACGCGGAGGGGCAGAGCGAGGGGACGCGCGCGGATCCACTGTGGGGAAGGCCTGCGTGCACACGTGGGGTGCCATAGAAGCGGGTTGAGGAGGGGCCCCTTTTCAGCTCTCTCGCGACACCGAAGCTTCTCTTGACCCCCGTGCGCCCCCCAACTGCCTGGCAACAGCAAAACTCAAATGCAATACCAGTTTTTCAAGCTTCTTTCTTTCGGGGGGAGCTCGATTTTCTAAAACGTTGTTCTCATGAAAGTAAGCAGACTTTTCAATTGAGGAACGTCAAAATTAAATGCCTTGTATTTACTTCAAAACTTGTTGCAGAGGTCTGAATTTAAATCACTGACAAAACGAAAGTTGAAAAGAGTTAAATCTGCGGTGTAAATAAAAATAAATTTATTATAATTTTTCCAAAATAAATGCACAAAAATTGCTCTTGTACTAAAGTTTTTAGTTTTTTGAGACACAAAAGTATTTTGGTTCTTCAGAGAGTTAATTTCTGAATTTTAAGTTAAAACTTTTAGGCTT